TGAACTGAAGTTGCTTCACTTGCTAGAAGTGCATCATTGCTGCAGTGAGGCAACTCTTTAATTTCTGCATGGTCTCTGCTGTGTATTCTTCCTAATGTAATTATTGGATTAAGCATTTCAGGCTCTTACTGATAAATCTGTCTTCCCAGTGGACTCCCTAGGACACATTAATTCCTGAGGAAGTACTGCATCTTCCCAAAAAGTGTAACGCAAAGTATGGAGGGTGTGATTTGTACGGAGTGAATCAAGACTGAAGCTGTGTTCTTAACACCATTATTTCTTTGACTCATTTCCAGGGACTTAACTGGCTTGTTCCCTCCTATGAGGCTCACTGGCCTTTAACTTCTGTTTTTGCCAGTGAATAAGTAGGAATTTTGTTTTGTTATGCTGGCAAGTGGTAATTCATGCCTTGGTGGTTTCTAATTTGTTTATTTCATTAACTAGGAGTAAAATAAAAGTGAAATGGGTAGTCATCGCTCTTAGAACTTTCATGTTAAGACATGAAAGGTTTTGTCTTATAAAGGCAGTAGCTGTTCAAGGTCTCAGGACAGACATAGAATTTTCAGTCAATTCCTCTATTTTAATTTCTGCATTTATTTCCCATCGTACTTCTTCTTTTTTTTTTTTTTTTTTTTTTTGTCTTTTTCCTTTTTATCGGTACCGGGGGATCGAACTCACGACTGCTTGCTTGCAAGGCAGGCACTTATGCCGCTGAGCTAAACCTCCAGCCCCCAGACTTCTTCATCTTCAGTGATTTTGAGTTCAGTGAGTCTCCTGTGAGATCCCCATTTAATAGTGTTGAGTTAGTTCTGATACTTTTTACCCCTTTGATAAGCATAAACAGAAGTCATGCTCTTAGACATTTTGGCTAAGGAGTTCATGTTGCACTGTGTGACCATCATGATACATGATGACAAACATTACTTGGAGACATGACTTAGTTGAATCTGAGAAGTCCAGAGTTGCTGCTTATGCTGAGGATGGGGAGCTTCAGGGACCCAGCAGCAGCCTGAGATTTCTGTAGTAGTTTATTTATATAAAGTCAAAGTCAGGAGAACAAAGAAATAGAAGAAAACGTTTCTGTTGGAGTTTTGGCCAAGGGATAGAGAGGGAGCAGGATGATTCGTTACATGGCATCATGACATGCCTATCTACTCTAGGCAAGATTACCAAAGGATGTAGGAGAAACACATCAGGCAAAGCAAACATTTTCAGAGAATAACTACCTTTTAAAAATGTTTGTATTTTGACAGGGTCTCCTTGTGTAGGTCAGGCTGACCTTGAACTCACTGTGCATACCAGGCTAGCCCCAGACTCATGGTGATCCTCCTGCCTCGGCCCCCTGAGTGCTGGGATTACAAGCATGTGCCACCACATCGTGCTGTAGAACTTGCTTTTAATTCTGCTGACTGTCATCCTAAAGATTTGCTCTAAACTGAACCCATTCATTCCAGAAGCCCTGAATTGTTGTTCAGAGAGCCCCTTCTTCTTGCACATTCTCTTCAAAAAACTCCTTTTGTGAGTGTGTCCCCATAATTTACCCTTTTTATTTTATAATTTAGATTTGGCAAAAGAGGGAAAGTACTTGGTAGAGGAGTATTGGGCTTGATGTTTGAACTTCATTGTGGCTGCTGCATGTTGGTACAGTTTGCAGAGTGCTTTTAGAACTTTAAGAAAGAGCAGAAAAAAGATTATTCTAATAGCTATAAGAATTCAAATGTGAAAGTGAGACCGGTAAACCAATATTTAGGATGAACCAATAAGCAGTGTCATTGAGGTGATCCAGTAATGTTGGTAGCCTTCATTTGAAATTTATGAAGTTGGACCTGAAGTCAGCCTAGGAGATTAGTAATATATCTGTCCAGAGTCATGTGAAAGGCACCATGGTGAAGGTGTTGGAACTCCTCCCAAGATTCAGAATGATAGAAAGGAATAGGGATAATGCACACTGAGTGGTACCCAGCATCACAACTAGGTTGACTGTGTGTCCATAGGGCCTACTGGTGTTGGCTGAGCCAGTTAACAGATGCCTCAGGGGCACCAAGTCTTTGTAGAATTTCTTTATAAATACCTATTTAACTCTAATTATGGGGTAACATTTTGGAAATAGCCATTCATAGTTTGAACAGTTTGATAGAATGAATCAGAGAAACTATAGCAGTTTCTGTAGTAGTGGCTAAGGAGTAGCCATGATTAGTTACAATCAAAATATCTAGAAAAGTTGGGCATTGTGGCACACACCTATAACCCCAGCACATAGAAGGCTGAGGCAGAAGGATTGCTGCAAGTTCAAGGCTACCCTGGGTTACATAGTGAGTTTGAGATCAACTTGAACTACTTGCCTCAAAAAAAAATCCTAGAAAGTGGCTTTGTCTGATGTTTATGTACTGCAGTGGTATGTTCAAGGGCTGAATTTCCTATCCACCATTGAGTGAGATTAGTCAGGAGCCATGCTTCTGCTTGCTGAGTATCATAAGGTGTGTCATATTTAGTTGAGAAATATTACTTGTAACGCATGTTGTTAGATAGGTGGAATTAGTGGGGAGAAGGTATTGCTTTAATGCCTCTACTAACGATTTGAAACGTATTTAGCTATCTTGTGTTTTCAGTTAATGAGGGCTAGAATATATGAATGGGAAGTATAGATCATAGAATGGTCAGAAGTGTCACAAGCAAATCAGCTCATCTATATGTTGATAATTACCAATTTTAATAATATAAGGGAAGAAGGAAATAGCCAGGCACTAGAAGGATTTCTTAGTAGGGGAAAAATAAGTGCCTGAGGAGAGGCCTAACAAGGGTCCCACAACTTCGAAATTCCATGAAGGTGAGCTGTCTTAAAAGTTGAATTTGTAGAATGTTAGCTGATAACAAGTATAAAGCTTTATAGAGAAAACTTGAGTCAAGAACAGCATGATATATTAGCATAACAGTCATGATGACATAATTCTACAGAATGACATGAAGAAATAATAGTGTTATCTAAGAAAAATGTACTTGTCTATAATGTATATTATGTGACATTGGACTGTACAGTCTGAGTATTGTTAAATGTTGTAATGCTCATATGCATATATGTATATAATATATATCATACCCATATTTATTATATAATCCTGTCTTCAACAAGTATTTATATTTTTTGGTTGGCTCTCCTATGTTCCGTTGGCATGTATATTTTATCACCAATAAATGAAACACAAATAAGAGGAAGCCAGAACTTTAGCCTGGAAGTCACCAATATGATGAGATGGTTTTTAGCTTTGTATCTTTGAAGACATGTATATCTGAACAATATAAATATGCTTAATGCATGATAAAGCCAACAATAATGGATGTTACAAACCATTTTGGAACAGTCTGAAAAGGCAGCTTTGTATTGTGTTGTATTGTTGACCAATTTAGGTGTCTGTGCTAGTCATGCAGAAAAGCTCAGCCTTTGTCTGAAAGCATCAGCTAAATTAGAGAGAAGAGTTGAGACATAGGGAAGAGTCAGGGCCATACCTCCCTAATCTTTGAGCAACAAGAGCTTTAAGAGACAGTAGTTTGGGCTCAACCAAACCAGCAAGCAAACATACATATTTTGTTCTATATACTGGGTCCTTCACAAATATCTTCAATATGCTTGAGCCTTCCAGCTTTGTCACTGTCAAAAAACAATATCATACAAAATCCTTTCCAATCAAAAACATTTCTTTATATTCTTCTCTGTATCTTACTTATGATACCTCTTTTCAAAACAACTTGCCTGCCACCACTTGGAATTTAAAATGTTGCATTGCAAATTTAACTGGCTGCCAATGAGCCTTTCAAGTAACTTTAAATAGTAAAACTTATCTTCGTACCAGCAGGAAGAAGAGTAAATTAATCCTGTAAATGTAGAGTTTACCACACACAGAAATGGTTTAAGCATGTGAATTAAACAAAATACCAAGTTAAATTGAAAACCAAAAGTAAATACGTTAGACTTTTAAGAAGCTGTGGATATGAAGCCGAAGGTGCACTGAAGACACCAGAATTTTGAAGAATCCAGGAACATGGATTGTCTGAGGAAAAGTGCAGAGTGGGAGGACAGTGAACCCAAGAGAGAAGCCACGGTTGAACAACCACCAGAAGTGCTATAGGAGCAGAGTGATCCGAAACCTTTGGTGTTTACAATTTTTCACAGATTGCCAGAGATGCTAAAAGTAGAATTACAGGGCTTAATGTTTCACTTGCTAGATTTTGGGATTGCTTTGATCCCATGTGCCTATTTGTAACTTTTGGAATAGAAATGTCTATCTTGTTCCATTTAATGTTGGAAGTGTTTAACTTTCTTTTCATTTGTCCAGGGGCTTGCAGCTAAGAATTTGCCTTAAACCTCAGGGAGGCTTTAGATTTAGAATTTTAGCAATGTTAAAACTGCTAGAACTTTGGGAATCTTGAGGATGAACTAAATATCTTTTGCATAAAGGGATATCATGAGTCTTTGAGGAGCCAGGGGTGGAATGTTATGGTTTGTGTTTAGATATCCCCCCAACACCTCATGCCATCTTTTCAGGGGTGATTGAGTCTAGAATGTGTGATGCTGAGATTAAGGATGTGTAATAAATTCACTGATTGGTTTGGTACCACCCTAATCCCAGCAGCCTAGACAAAGTATAAAAGGGGCAAAAGATACTGTTAAGATTGGCTGTTGATGTTGCTGTCTTCTGCCTGCTATAAACTGTTCTTTGCAAAGCCAGCCTGCCTTAGAACCAGCTGATTATGGACTTAAATCTCTAGAAACTTTGAGCTAAATAAACCATTTTTCTCTTAACTTGGGGTGTCAGGTATTTTGTCTCAGCAATGAGATAAAAGTAATGAAGACCATTGTATTTTGGGGAGAATAACCAAGTGTACAGTAGTAATGGATCCTGTGATCACTAGTCTTGACTTTGAGGACATAACTTCTTTTTATTCAAAGATAAAGGAAACTACATTCATTCTTGACTTGTCTTCTTATTCTGTTTCACATCTAGGCTGCACCTATGAAGGAAACACCTACAACAGCTCCTTCAAATGGCAGAGCCCAGCCAAGCCCTGTGTCCTGCACCAGTGCCAGGTAAAGTCCAGTTTGCCAAGAGAGAGACTCTGAGTAGCTTCTTTCAATTGACTGAGAGTGAGACCCAAACAGTTAACCAAAACTGAGACCCGTTGCATCCCTATAGTTTATTATGATGTTTACCATAACAAGGCAGGTAGAGGATGGGTGTTGTGTAGGACTTGTTTCCAGAAACACAGCAGAATGGTCTGCCATTGTAAATTGTGCCTGGAAAAACTCCAGGAGGATGTATATGTCCTTGGGGAAAATGCATGTCTTCCTGTGAAATCATCTTTGAGCAAAACGTGAATTCCTGTTAGCAGAAAGGAGGTATTGTTAGACAAGGTATGTTTTCCTTCTTTGATTTAGAAAGGTTTTGAGCAGAAGCCAATCTGTAAACTGTATTAAAGTGAAGCAATTAGTACACTGTAACCTCAATGAGTTCAAGCTGACAAATCTAAGAACCATCAGCTCAGCTTCTAAGGGGTCCATTGTGCCTGATCCTCAGGGCCTCTGAGAGCAGCAGGGATCCTGCACGGCTAGGCTCTGATGCCCACATGCATAGAGCACAGCACAGTGGACCAAAGGGGCAGTGTGGAACCCAAGGTTCAAACTTGTGTTCTTGTCTCTGCAGACAAACCCCTTCTAAAAGAGTAACAGTCATCTAATTTAACATTACTTAAAAATTCTTCTCTGTAGAGAAGCTGCTGTTAAATCCTTTTATCCTGAGCCCCATTTCATTATCCTAGCATCGCATGTGCATTTGAAGGAGGTTGGAAGGTGAATATTATGGGTATTTCTCTCCCATCTCATCTCAAGCATGTTGATATTTAATGAATTTCATGTTCTCATTAGACACCTACAGTAGATCTTCAGTATTTCATTCAACTAAATATTCAACTAAATATATGCAGTGAGTCTTATTTATGAAAATAAGCAGTAGATTGATTGACTCTATCAAAGTTTGTTGAGTTTTTTATTCCAGATTATAAAGTTGGTCAGTCTCTTTCTATGAAGAAATGAGAACAGTGATTTTTAATAAAACCAGAACCCCAAACTTTCCAAAATTCACACCCTCCTTCTCTACACTTTTTTTTCTCCTTTTAGTATTGGCAGTTGAACACAAGGCCTCACTCACAGCATAAAAGTGTTCAACCACCCTACTGCCAACTAAGTCATTAGTGCATTTGTGTTTTAAGACAGGATCTTTCTAAATTGCCTATGTTGGCCTCAGACTTCTGTCTCTCCTGACGATTATGGGTATGGGGCAGGACAAAAAGAGAATAATTACAGAACTATTTTATTATGTAATTTATATAGTTATATAAATTATTTTGTTGCCCTGCCTCTTGGTCAGTGAAATTTCCACTCTTCAACAGGGACATCTGAGCACTGTGGTTCTAGTATTTGGTAACTAAGAGGACCACATGCCCTTGGGATCTGGGACTACATTCTTATAAACAGCCAGAGGTCCTGAGCATGCACAAGTTACTTGGACAGGGGTAACTTTTGCTGCCTTTGGATAAGGTGTTGCTTACATTAGTGGAAGTTACTGTGCAACAGGGAATGTTTTGTTGCCGGAAAGACACATTAAGCCATCAGAGAGGTTAACACGGAGTCTCCTGTTGCCTGTCATCTTTGGTCACTGGCACACAGCCAAGAGAGAATTGACTCAGGAGTATCAAATTATTATCTGAAAACTCAGGAAACCAGAGCTTCAGAGCAGAGCCCAGAAAGAGGGAGTCACCCGTCAAAGATGAACCTCACCTTTCCTTCTTCCTCCTGTGCTAAAACCAGAGTCCTACTACTAGGAAGGAGTTGTTTCCTTCGGTAAGAAGAGCAAACCTCTGTGAAGGTGGTCACAGAATGCTGTGCCTTTGCCCACCAGCACCTTTGCATTCCTGCCTTTCTGCTTCCTTCTTTAGGAGGATGCAGAAAGTGACCATTCACAGGCACCTGCTGGGCAAGTCTCCTGTTTTCTGCAGAAATGATGAGATTGCTGTCTCTCTCCAGCTCTTCAGGGGGTGGGAGGTCAGTAACAGAGGAGACTGTGTCAGGCAGGCAGTGCCCCATGGGCTATGCTGCTCACATGACTAATTATATAACCTGTCCGCACCTCTGTAACTCTCCATAAAATGGGGCCACAGTGATCTCATTGGAGTTTGCAAGCAATAAGTGAGATTCTCATTAAAAATGCTCCTGAGAGCCACCTGCCTGTACAGGTACAACCAGAAACCAAACAGATACCAAGTGGTCTCTTTCCACTTTTTTTTTTTTTTTTTTTTTTTGTACTGTGGATTGAACTCATGACATTGCACTTGCCAGGCAGGTGCTTATTGCTACTGAGCTAAATCCCTGGCCCTCCACTTGCAATTAAGTCTGCTTTCTTATCTCCTCTGACAAAAGGAATTCTGGTGTTGAAAACTTTACCTGTGTTTTCCCTCTTTCAATTTCTTGGTGGATGGTGATGATCTGAAGATCAGATAACTTCACACTGGGAACCAGCCTGAGCATCCATCTAGATTGGAGATACTGAAGAAAAACTGATCCCAGATCCTACGTTGTGCAGTTACATAGCTAAGCGTGGGTCTTTTTGTGATGCTGGCAATTGCTGATATTTTGGATTTTTCTCCCAAATGTGATCAAGGCCACGATAAACTCCCCTGGTGATGGAGACCTTGGGCTTGGTGTGTAGACATTTAGGGTATAGCTCTTTTGGTAGGTTGGGATGACATAGCAGCAGGCACAATAAAAGAAATGGCCTCATTGTCAAATTGTTACCTCTGTTTTCAGCTTGCTGTACCCTCTATTCCAAACAAAATGAAACATCATGTAAACAGAAATACACATTCATTTACAAAATGTATAGAGAATGTAGAGCACACTCTTCAAAGACCAATACTGAAAATTAATTTTAGAATTAATTTGACATTAGGATGGTATTGAAGTCCAAGGTTAGTAACCTTTCTGCAGTTTGCAAATGACTCATTCAATTTCATGATTAAAACCTAAAGTCTGTATTTGACATCTTCAGTAAGAACTCAGGTTTGTCCAGTCTTCCTTTGATGCTAGAAAAATGGAGACTCAGGCTGTGACTGAGACTTAGTGATCTTTCTAAGACTGAAGAGCTCTCCTAATTGTTTCTAGAAGGATGGTCAGGTTTTATCTGGAGATAGACCTCTAGATGCTACACAGGTCTCTGTGCTACAGAGCTAATGCCTTGAAGAGTAAGAACAATGATAGAAAATACAGCCAGCATTGAAAACATAAGGCAATTGTGAATGAGCAGCTAGAATCTTCCAGCTAAGAGCAGACCACAAGGATTTCTTAAAACTGTATTTGAAAGAAAGAAAGCAGGGCTAATGAGAGAGTGCAAGGCCAGGAAAAAGAGGAGGTGACGAGGTTTGTCCTCTGAGATCCAAAGCATCAGTAGGGGTGAACAAGGGGATTGTAGATCATTTGTGCCCAGTCCTTTGGGCCCAATGCCCACCTCACCATGCACTTTATGGGTTTGGGTTCTTCTGCTTGGTTACTTTCCTGAAGTTTAGCTGCTTGACCCAGTCCGGGGCTGGCTGACTGTGTGCTGTTTGTTGCAGGAGGGCGTCGTGACAGAGTCTGAGGTGCACTGTGTTGTTCACTGTAGAAACCCAGTGGAGCACCCGGGAGCCTGCTGCCCCACCTGTCCAGGTAACATCCTCAGGGAGTGGGAGGCAGAAGGCTCCTCAGCACAGGGCAAGATTGTTGAAATCTCTGTGTCCTTCGGAGGCGATGTGCCGTTCCTTTCCTCTGCTGGATTTTTCTTACTCAACCTCTGCGCACCTGACAGCATTAGAGGGCGCACTCCTCCTCCTTTGCAGGGCCCTGGCCTGGCTGGAACCTTGGCTCTCCCTTTCCTGAAGGGCATGGCAAGACCGTGTCCAGCACCAGCACAAAGGCAGTGTGCTGTAGGTCATGGCTTGTGGCTTGTCTGGACCTGGAGGCTTGCTTTCCATTCACAGGTCCACAGAGGTTGTTCTTTACTTCCAGAAATGTCTTTTTACTGCTTCATAGTGTGGTGCATTGGCCTGAGCTTGCCGTGGTGATGGAGCATTTCTGACAACTGAGAGCTGCGTCCCATGTGAATTTAGCTTAGGGATTTGCTGGCGTTCTTTTCAGTGTGGTTCCATAAGTTGGGCCCACTGTCTTTTGGGGAGAGGCCCCTGCCTATCTGATGGTGAAGAGTTCTTCCTTTTCCAGTGGCCAACTCTCTCCTCCCACCTTTCCTTCGGGGATTGCAGAGGCCTCCTGCAGCTCTTCTTACTCTTTCCCATGAGCTTGAGTACTCTGAGGTGAGACATTTTTCTGATTTCTTACACATTTGTCGATCATCTAGGATGTGTTCTGTGTTTGGGGTGTCTCTGGGCAACCTGCCTGACTGGTAACAGGGCAACCACTACTCTTTGCTTAGCAGGGTGATCTTGAAGCTCTGCTGTTCTTTGAGCCTCATGTGAAGTGGTGAAAGTCCTGGGGGTCCTCTGCAGACATGAGCCCCTCCATGTGGCAGACCCAACTCCTGTTCAGAATTTAGTCATCTCTTGTCCTTGTCCTTTGGGACAAGACAATTTCCACCTCTTCTGACCTTTCTCATGTCCTACAGTCTTTATTCAGCTTTCTATTTACACTGGGATTTCTGTGAAGCTTGTGTGATTGATGAGCTCATATGAAAGCCAAAAACTGGTTATATCTACACTAATTCTTTCTGTAATCCAGTTATCTTGTATCTGTCACACAGCTTGCCCAGTGCCTTTCCCTTCTGATGCATTAAATGTTTTGCACCAGGCCACCACATCCTTGAACATCAGTGGGATCTTTAAGAAGTAGATGAGTAGCTCTCTCCAGGGCTGTGCCCTAGAATTTGCTGAGAAGCTGAGACACTGCATCTTGTACTCAGGCTGCAAGTCAGCTCAAGTCCATTAGAATTTGGGTGGGTGGGAGCACCCTGCCTCCCTGGTGATTTCCATACACAGCCAAACTGGAGATCGGTAACAGAGAAAACTTTGTCATACAGATTTAAAGATTATCACAGCTCACAACTATAGATTCAGGTGTGTTGAGCAGACAGTTGCCTTATCAATGCAGAATGAACTCAGAGCATCCCACTCACAGCCAGGGGACCCTCGAGGAGCAGGAACAGCTCCAAGGAGCCCTTAAAACCAGGCACTCCTCCCTGTGGGTAATATCCTGTCACTCAGGAGAACCCTGTGTCCAGCTGCCTGTGAAACATGGTACAAAAACTGCGGTATGATTTATCTCAGCAGCTGAGCACTCCCGTGTGGAGCAGTTTTCTTTACTCCATGTTTTGGTTGAGTTCCAGGAAGGAAAAGACCAAGCTCCACAGTCATGCTGAGTCCTCACCACTGTCCAGAGAGGGATGAGGTGTTGATCACAGCAGTGCCTGCCAAATTCCCCGAGTGAGCTGGGATCTGGGGACCCTGTACCCCTCTCTCCTCTGAGCCCACTGCAATACCACAGGAAGAGCTCAGCTCAGTTCTATCTTTAAAAGCTGATGAGCCAGGGCCACATGGCACCTGGGAGGCTCCATGCCCTAGGACAGGAGGTCAGGATTTGCCTCAGTTCTAAACACAGTGTTTGGGATGCAAGTGGAAAGGTTTGGAAGGAGCAGAGTTCATCGCCCTTTGTCATGAGAGGCCTTCCACCGGGCCCCTATGGGATAGTCAGGGGAGGCCTTGGCCTCCTCCTTGGAATCCAGGGGGACAGTGTCTGTCACTGACCAGGGCATGGCAGTGCACATGATGGTAAACATGCCCAGTCTGTGGTCAGCTTCTTCTAGAAACTGATTTCAGAGCATTGCTTCTTCTCTGCCCCTTGGTCTCTGTCTGATTCTGCTCAAGGATGGTGCATTGTCATGGGAACTCTGAACAGAATTTCCATTCGAAAATGCCTTGACTCAGTGTCAGTGTAGATCGCTGTGGTTAGTCTGTCTGGCAATCTGGATGACAGAGATGCAGACACCCAAAAGGATTGGAGACACTTTGTTGACATGTCTTTTGGAGAAAGGTGACTGGACATCTGTCATTTATGAACGGTGTTGAGACACAGCCACCAGAGACCACGCTTACTGTGTCTTCCATGTCCCTGAGAGCAGGAGCAGTGGCTGGCACTGGCTTTGGGTGTGCGTATCAGATAAATCTTATTCCTGGAGAGTTTTAAAATTCACTTTTACTTGTCTTTTTGGCTTCAGACTCAGCAGTATTTTGTCTACACGTCTTTTGGTTGACTAGAGGATGGTGCCCTGCTTTAAGATGGGGCAGGTGGGGTGACACTCACTCCTCATCAGGAACCATCTGCTCCGAGAGTTGGGGGGTCTCTGCTGACAGCTTTAGCTGATGGACTGGGGCACTTCTGTGTCCTTCACAAGAGCTCGCTGTCCAGCACTGACCCTGCCTCTAACCAAGTGCCTTGCGAGGACAGTCCTGGGGAAGGTGGCTTCACTAATAACCCACAGTCACTGTGGCCCACATGACATGGAGTGAGCGTGGCCAGCTTGTGCTGCAGGTAACTTGTGACATTGCTTTAGAATGCGGCGGTGACTCAAGCATCTTTCTGATGAGGGGACATGTCCTGGATTTTGATCCTTTCATCGCCCAGACTTGGTGGGGGCGTGATCACCACCTGGTGGGCTGCAGGCCCATGGGGTCACTGCTGCCCCCACCTCAGCACCTTCTTGTCTTTGCACCCGGCTTGCTCCATAGTGCAGAGGGAGGCTCAGAACTGAGTTTGAATCCCAGCAGGGCCACCTGTGAGCAAGGTGAATTACTTTCCCTTAGAGCCACAGTTCTCTCATGTGTGGACAAAAAGATGGCGCCCCTGCTGTGTAAGATTGCTGGGGAAATGAGGGGGTCAGCTGCATGGGGAGATTACTGGCAACCCTTGGCTGCATCTGCTCTTGGTCCAGTGGTTGATCCATCCTTGGCCTCCCTTATCCTCTGCTAGGGTTTGGTCCTGGCAATGGCCAGTATGATCATGACACCGCTCCAGGGACACAAGGCAGGGTTCCTTGCAGTGCATTTGCATTGCACCCCCAGCCTAACTTGTGCTCCACTGAACTTTCTGGCATCATTGGGGTTTCTTGTTCCATGCCAGCATCTCATTCTTTGCCTGCTCTATTTTACAGTGCACTAGTGCTATCCACTGACCAAAGAGGACACTGCTGGGTGACTGGGTGGAGGTGGGGTGTGGATGAGCAGGGCTGGGAGGACTGTGTCGCACGGATGCTGCTCCTGCTTGGTTCTGAACTCCACTCTGCTTTCCAGGCTGCGTGTTTGGAGGTGTGCAGTACCGGGAGGGAGAGGAGTTCCAACCGGAAGGGAGCAAGTGCACCAAGTGTTCCTGCCTCGTAAGTCCTGCATGGGTGTCACCATGGTCCCTGGGCTCATGGCTAATCACTTGTCCCAAAGCAGCTGTCTCAGCCTGAGCACTGCTGACACTGGGCTGGGTCTGGCATGTGTCTTGCAGGAGGTATAGGAACAGCCTGGCCTCTACCCTTGGTTCCCCTACAGCCAGAGGGATCCACAGGCATTGCCTGGGTCCCCTGCAGAGCCACCTGGCTTCCAACCAAGGACCACTGCTCCAAAGCATGAGAGAACATGATTTATGCTCCTCTGCTGCCTCCTTTTGGGGGATTCTGTGAATTTTTATTTTTGGGGACAGAGGAGCTTCCTGTTTCCTTAAGCTGTTAGGTTTGCTACAGTTAAATGGGAAGCAGATGGACATTCGGGGATTGAGGAGGGTGGTATTCTGTGGGGGCTGGATGGAAGGAAATCACACTGGCGAACACTTAGTGAGGCAGGGCCATAGACTCACCTTTATAAGCATTGTGACTTTTAATTTATATTCCGAGGTCATCCTCAGAATTCTTAGGAAGACAAGGAACCTCGCCTGCATTACAGTTTCAGGGTTCTTTTCATTAATGTGTTTATCTGAGTGGTGGTGGTGGTGGTGGTAGTTACGGGGGTCTGGTCCTAGGCAGCGTCCCCACATTATTTACAGTAGGGAGTAGGTGCAGTCATTTTTTTTCCTGATAAAGAACACACATTTTCCAAGTCAGTGGTGACTCAGTATGCATCTAGAATATTAAAAAGGAAATGCTCAGCAAACTCTAACATCTTAATTTCACCAGAGCAGACCCATGCGTGGGTCACTGTGAGTCACAGCATGTCATTTCTGTGACTTTACCTCCTCTTCCAGCACAGGCTTTCTGTGTAGGGCCCAGAGTAAAGGACTTGTGGCCTGGGATGACAGGGATTGTATGGAGGATGGGAGGAAAAGAAAGGGAAGGAGAGGGTGGTATATTGCGTGTCTCCATAAAAAACACATATAGTAGTTATGTAATATATTAAAACAAAATCAATTTACTAATTTATTAGTATGCTCACTTTTAAGTGAGCATAACTTTGGTTGTTCCAAATGAACTTCTGTGTTTTCTTGCAGTCCTGAGTAAATAGCTTTGTGCTACTTTCCATGTACGATTGTTATTATTGCTCATTTCTCAATGTTATTTCCTCTATATTGGTAGCTGTAACATTTTCTGATGATGATAATAATTACTATTATTTTAATAACTTCAATCTTTTGGGAGTGGGTTGAGGAAAACCAAAGTGGTTTTGTTAGGAAATTCCGAGAGTGTGGCTGAGCGAATTGTCCTTCTGATGAAGCTGTGCCGAGGGCAGGCAGCTGATACCCACCTGGAGAAGGGAAGGTAGTGGTGGGTGGCAAGGAGGGGGAAATCCTGCGGCTGTACCGTGATGCCTTTAGGGAGATGTCCTGGGGAGCCGGAAATGAGCTCAGGGCCTGAGTTGAGACATCAAGACTTGATATACTGAGGCGTTCCGATTTCACTTGCTTTTAAACTTGGTGTCTTCCCAGAGAAATGCACCCATGGCTGGGTTCAGGCCCCTGAAAGTCCTGTTTTCATCTTCTGTTGAAAAAGTGAGATTCCAAGGGTGGTGTTACTTGGCCAGACTTTCCTGCTTACTGGATTCTCCCCATCATACACAGTCTCTAACTGGTCCTCTAGGTTGAGAGTCCAGTTTCCTGTGTTCTTATTATCCCGATGTTCTTTCCATTCTCCATGTTGTCACCCTCAGCACTTAGTGTTCCCGACATAGATCTCTAGCAGAGAGCAAAGGGCTGAGAACGGAGTTCCTGCTGGGAAACAGAGCCTGGTGTGGGCTTGCAGCTGGGGAGGTCACAGAGCAGCCTTTCTTTTCATGAATACAGAGGCTGGAGGTGTGGGGTCCCTTTTTGGAGCTTTCTATTGAATTAATTTGGTTTTTAATACTCTCTCTTTGCCATGTTGATAGCAGTGTCTCAGCCGCCATGGCCCAGTCTGAGGGACAGCTGTGATGACATCCACCTGAGAGTGTCTGGTTCCCAGACACAGCCAGACTGTTTAGCACCAGGTGCAAAGCAGGCCAGGGTTGCCCAGCCACAGACTTCGAGCTCTGATGAGGCTGATGTGTGTGTGTGGTGAGGTGATGTCCTGCTGGGCCAGTGGGCTGAGCTGGAGAAGGGCGGAACATGAGGCTTCAGGGTCTCCATACAGAGGAGCATGCTGTGCAGCAGCCCGCAGTGCTTTGACAGAAAGAAAAACATTAATACAATAGAGAGAGAGAGAGAGAGAGAGAGAGAGAGAGAGAGAGACAGAGACAGAGAGAGAGAGACACTTTTGTGCCTTGGAGCAGGACAATTGTCCCTCCGTGTCTTCTAGGAATTGTTGTCAAGGCCAACAGCAGACATCAATACCCGCAGGTGAGCGAGTCCCTGTCTGAACTTCTGTCATATTTGTATGTAACCTGCACACTTCCCTCCTGTGGATTTAAGTCACTTCTGTATTGCTTGTAATATCTAAAACAACACAGATGATATGTTTTTGTTCTACTCTACTATTTAGAAAACAATGACAAGGAAAAAAGTCTGATATACTCAGCACGGACACAAATTTGTCCCAAATGTTTTCAGTCTGTGGGTGGTTGAATCCATAAACACAGAATCCAGGGATATGGAAGCCAATTACATTTATAAGGACCTGCATTTACGTGTACATGTGTCAGCGAGTGCATGTGTACACCTACATGTACATATGTATCAGGTGTGATCATAATATATGGTGAATGTTTAAATTACAGAAACAGTAGAAGGCATGTTGGCATCAGTCCTGCTCACGACACTCCTTCCTTTTAAATGCACTTATCCCATTGTTCTTGCCACTTTCTGATGTAGTCCTGGAAGTCCTCCTTCATGAGAGTCTCTACAGGGTGTGGTTATAAACATGGTGAATGATGCTGCTGAGTGCCACCCAACAGGTAGGTGCTCTCACAAAAACATGAAAATGTGTCTTCATCCACCTTACTCACCGCATCCGGTACTGTGTGACTCCTCTCTTCCCCAAAATCAAAATAATCCTGAAAGGTTTTGAATTGATTAGGACATTGAGGCAACCACAGCAGGGCAACTAAAGACTCTCAGGAAAGAGGACTTGCAGAACTGCTTCAGAAAGCGGCAGAAACAATGATGTGTGTTCAAAGTGAAGAGGTTAATGACAATGTGTCTCTTTCATGAATTTTTAAAAATAAAAACATTTACTGTCTATTTTTATTACACTTCATACAAATACATATATATGTATAAGTATATAAACATTTAAAAACAAATACATAAAACATATATTCACATATATATGATTATAAATACACATGCACACATCAATACGTCTAAGCTGGACTCCTGCAGACGCAGATCCTGATCTGTGTGTGAGTGGTTTATAGCAGGATAGAGAGACAGACAGGGTTTAGCTGAGAGCAGGAAAGCTGCAGCCAGTGGAGGGCATGTTACTGGGTGCTGTGGTCCCGCGTCCTCCATCATCTTGTTGAAACTTAGCTGCCATTGCATTAGCAATAAAAGGTAGGCCCTTGTGGTGCTGATTAGGCATTGAAGTGTCTGCTCTTGTGAGTGGATTCCCATCCTTATAAAGGCTGGAGGGAGGAGTCTGACCTGGGGCACAGCCGCAGACGCCACTTTGAGAGAGAAGGAGCAGTGCCCCCAGACACCAGGATGGCTGGTGCTCTGGCCTTGGCCTTCAGAACTGTGAGAAGGAAATGCCTGCTCTTCGTAAGTCTCCCGGCTGTTACATTCCGTTATTGCAGCACACGTGGACCAAGACACTAACTGCACTGTCCCTGTGGGTGGCCCCGTCTTCTTCCTGCTGGACAAGCTCTGGGAGCTCTGAACTTTCCCACCTGAGTGGGGAGAGCTGAGACGAGTGCTCTCCACCACCCCGCAGGCCTCTGGGGGCTGCTCTTAGGGGATGCAGACCAGGTAACAGTTATACACATGTACGCACGAACACACACCACTTCTGGGTGAACTCCCACCCCGTGGAAGCACAGTCCTTGGGTTGTTTTTCTGCTCTCTGTGCTGGTGTGGAAGGGGCCGGGCCTTTCTCTCCTCATCCTGCTCAGTGCTCAGGCTGAGCACCGTGGCCCCCTAATAGAAGCCCCTTTCCTCTCTCCTTCTCCCCTGCTCCATGCTTTGATGCAGTGCACTGAGACATGGTAATGCCCTGTCTTCCACACTGTGATGACTGTGCTCTTTTCTGCCAACTGGGCTTTCTGCGTGGAGATCCCTTCCGTGGGGCTCCACAGTCTCCAGCTGCTCCTGACTGCGGCACTGCGTGTGGGCTGTGTCCCTCCTGTACCTTATCCACACATGGGGACCCCGATTCTTCCAGTGTGCCCCACTGTCACATAAATATTGTCAGTGCTGCATGGCTTCAGTTTTTAAATCCAGTCTTCTTCTCTTAAAATTCTCTTTAATTTGAAACTCTGTCCAGCTGTTTTTTGTGAGGTAGTGACTAAGAGGCAGCATACCAGAAAGCTGCCTCATCTTGAGAGAATGCCTTAGCTAGTGACCCAAATGCTTTCCACGTTCTGAGTTTAGTGGAGACGGCTCACAGCATTCTAGACTGCTGAGGACAGCTGGCGTTGGAGAGAGCTGTGGGATCCCACAACCTCCTACTCCTGCCCTGGCTGGCAGCACAGTGGCTGACACGTTTGGTGTGAATATCATCAAGATGCAGCGCTTTATTATCACTGGTTAAACTGTATCATTCCCATTTACACATTGTAGAAATAAAAGAGCTAAGAGATTTCTTCTCCTGCTCCCAGGCTCCTTCTGCTGTTCACCAGGGCTGTCTGTGTCAAATTGGAGGATATTTGATGTTTGTTAGGGGATGAGACCAAAGGAAGTGAGCGGATGATTCTTTGTAATATCTGAAGCAAACAAGGCTTTTTAAAAGCACACAGAGCATCGATTAAAACACTCTCCTTTCTTTCATTT